GTCAGGAATTTACTGCCCAAATCACTGGGTACGGGATTATTATGGGATGGGATTGGGATCAATATGGGATCATTATGGGATTGGGGTTATGGCATTGGGGTCTACAGCATTCTGCACATGGGGGACCACGCGGAGTTTGTGAGGAACCTGTTACCAAAATCATTGGGTACGGGATCGGTTATAGGATCGGGGTTATGGGATTGGGGTTATGGGATCATTGTGGCATTGGGGTTGTGGGATTGGGGTCTACAGCGTTCTGCACGTGGGGGATCATGCGGAGTTTGTGAGGAACCTACTGCCGAAATCATTGGGTATGGGATTATTATGGGATTGGGGTCATTATGGGATCAATGTGGGATCGTTGTGGGATTGGGGTTATGGGATCATTATGGGATTGGGGTACCTGGGCTATGGTCAGGAGGAGTTGATGAACAGCAGCGTCTACAGCGTTCTGCACGTGGGGGATCACGCGGAATTCGTGAGGAATTTACTGCCCAAATCACTGGGTAGGGGATTATTATGGGATGGGTATGGGATTGGGGTTATGGGATTGGGGTCTACAGCGTTCTGCATGTGGGGGACCATGTGGAGTTCATGAGGAACCTGTTACTGAAAGCATTGGGTACGGGATTATTATGGGATTGGGGTTTATAGGGTTGGGATCTATAGGTACCGCACCGAGTTCATCAGGAGCTTCCTACCGAAATCACTGGATACGGGATTGGGATTTTTATCCCATATTTCATTCCCCTATTTCTTTCCCCAGTGAATGGAGTGCCATGGCTGCAGGAGCTGTCCCCAATCCCATTTTCATCCTGAAGTTTTTTCCTGTTTTTTTTTTTTTTTTTTTTATTTTCATTTCCTCCATTAAACCATCTCTCTTTTTTTTTTTTTTTCCTCATATTTTCATTCTCATATTTCATTCCCGTTTATTTTTATCCTATTTCTCGGGCGCAGTGAACGATGTTCTGTGGCCACAGGATCCATCCCCTATCCCATTTTTATCCTGGATTTTTTTTCCCATGTTTTTACTCCTGGATTTTTTTCCCCATATTTTCATTCCCC